GAAATTTATCATATATATAATTAATAATTTTAATTCAGTACGCATAATAAAAGTTTTTTTGAAAATAAGGTCTGTATAATAAGAAGATGATAAGTAGTTTGTTAAAACGGAAAATATTTTTCATTTTACAAATTATTTTAAAGATTTTATATATATAATACATACCATTATTAGTTGTATCATTACTTGTCGTATTTTTATTTATATATTTTTGATACACAAATATATCATATGTCGTTCCAATTGTTGTCATGAAGAAAAAAACGCTAGAACAACACTACAAACAAAAGCTTTTTTTGATTTAATTTTGATTAAATTTTTAAAAGATTAAAAATTAATAAAATTAAAAAAATTAATAAAAATTATTTATAATACTAAAATGCATTTTTTATTATATCTATATATTATATATTGCTTATATCATAAAATAGTTGCTATATTTATGTTTTGTACCAAACGAAGGATGACATTTTACTGGATAACCATTCATAATCATCTTTAAGTTCTTTAATTTCGATCAATTTGAAATCCATGGAATAGAGATCATTGATCAGGAAAATTTTATCATAAAGTATTTTTTTCAAAATAACATTTAAATTATTTATAGAGCACGACGCTGGCAAACAGAGTCCGAGTGAAATCACATCCTGAAAGAATAAAACTTTCTGTATTCTTACATTTAAATTTGTAGAGAAAGGAATTATTAAGGAAAATTAGAAATAACTGGAATTACTAATTAAATAAAAATGGAAATTCAAGGCTTCTAACTACTTCGCGGATATCTAAAACATCTGGTATCAGAATAGAGAAAATATGTTATAAAAATTCTTGCAAAATAAAAATACATTTTAAGAAAATATTTGTAATTGATCAGTCTTGTATCGAAATAGAACAATCTTGTATCAAAGACCCCCTTCCTAATCAATAAATGACCATACGTCTAAAATTGAATTATAGCCGGTTTTCATTAGATGACTAAATTACTGGATTAATTAAAAGAGAAGTGTGCATTTTATAAATCTGTTAATAATAATATGTAATAATGTGTAAATCTATTAATAATAATAATATTTTCTATTAATAAAGCGAGGAGACATCAAAAATAAAATATTGTGTGCTAACTGCGAAATTTCAAATTGTCGTAGTGATATCGCTAATTGAAGAATCAGAGATCGTCGCAACTCTAAGCGTAGCATCTTACGAATTTTGATAAAAACATGTCAACATATTTTCATATCAAAATTGTATCGCGTAAAGTGTTACAAGATGTTTTATTCAAAACTATTAAAGAGCGAAAAAAATCTTTCTTGTAATTTTTATGAGTCATTCAGATTTTTTAAGTAATAAATAATATATCTTTTTTAAGTAATAAGTAATATATAATGATATATTTAAAAAGACAAAACAGTTAATACCTTTTTCTTTAAATAAAATCACATAATTTTCTTTGAGTTTTAAAAGCTTCTATTTGCAAATATTTGCAGAATTAATATAAATTATTTAATCTCTTAATAAATAATTTCTTTTCCTTGTATATTTTAATATTTTTTTTGTTTTTCCAAAATTGTGCCGTTTTTAAACACAAATAAATGCAAGTTTAAATAAGAATATAAAGATTAACAATATACAGTATTAATTACATTTTAATTTTCTGTGGATTCAATTTTGTATTTAATTTAAAAATTTTATAAGTTTAACAAATACAATAAATTAACATTTATAAATGAATTTGTTCTATCTATTTTTTGAATTTTATTACATACAGCTTTTTATAAATTTACCTCTTGAATCATATTTATATGATACTGAAGAGTATTGTTGTGTCTAAAATGAGCAACAAAATAATTCACTTTAAAAGAAGGAAACTGCTGTTGTGAATCATGATACAGTGTTTCATTTAATATTTTCTGCTTTGAATTCAGTAGGCGAGCTGTATTCATTGTATCGAGACATTGGCTACGACTTCCCAGCCAATAGTTATTTCCGTAAAGGAAACCAGAATTAAATACACCACTGGAATCTAATACTTAAAAATAAGAAATAAAATATTAGTATAAAATATTAGAAATACTAAC